CCCCTGCCGAGAACCGCTCTCCCCCATGTGACGTCATCGATCGGTATCCCCCTGCCGAAGTCTAAGGTCATTGTTACAAATCTTACCTCGTTGTTGCCTGTCATACGTCATTGTAACATATCTTACCAGGTTTTTACCTATATGGCGTCATTGCTACGTCTAACATGTGAATAACATGTACTTCACCTTGACCATTGTATTTGTATTTTTTATCACGACTTACCATAATATTCCAAGGGAGACAACTCTTAGAGACCTCCTTCTGTTTAATTTCCTGTCTTCTACTGATTTATACTGATAGTTGTCGACTTGTACCAATCAGATCTGCTGTCTTTTGACTCGTTATTTTGACCAACCTAGTTATATTCTAAACATCATCCTGAAATTCTAAATTGACCTTAGTTATATGTATCATTGAATTATTGGCAAAAAATACGAACTAAATATATTAAGAATTGTTGGAGTTACCTCCCTTTCATATGCAAGATATTCTTCAGATACAAATTATTCTGTAAGGATGATTCAAGTTAACTCCCTTTGAGATGCAAATTAACGTGGAAGCAATCACATGAGAGAGATTTATTTCGAAAAAAAAGGTTATCTGTCACGGTCAGAAGTTATATTTACAGTCAAGCATGACAAATACTCTGTGGACGCAGTTAAGGGAACAAAGCCTCTTTAGTCTAGATATACGATACTGGTACTACATGTTATCTCTGTTTATATATTAAGTACAACTGTGTACACTAACCGAGACGTATCCTGATACATACCTGTACATACTTACTGCTAGTGCTGAGGATAGTCCCTTGTTTATAACTAGATTATCACCATCAACCGCAAACATGTGAGGGTATGGAGAGAAATAGTTATACATGTCATTCAAATGTCTCGCTTCATCCAACACCTCACCACCAGAGGAGTAGAAGATATGGAGCTACTTACAAAAGTTGCATCACGTCAGAATAACTTCGGTATCCATTGAAAAAAAAAACGAAAATTTCAACCCAATTTAATATCTTAAATAGCAAGTCAGAGATTAGGACTTTTGTCTTACTCGTGAAAATGGAGAATTCATTATTTTTTCGTTTTCAATATTGCTCGCGGTTAATTTTCTAACGTGAAAATGCTTCTTATTTCCGCTTCCGGTTAAGCTTTTACATGTGGACAATGAATTGCCAGTATATGAAACCACATAGTAATCTGAGTGGGGCATTTCTAATAGAACAACATTGGTCATGCTATGTATTCTCTGAATGACATGCTTCAATATTTACATTTGCTCTGCATCCTTCCATTACAATGCATTGAGAAGGCAAATGTTGTTATGAGACTATAACATCATTTGCTAAAACATTCATTGCTTAAATATAACATGACTTAACCGTTCTATGTATGATTCAGAAATCTTTATTGTTTAAACATTTAATGTTCAATGTAACATAGCATAACACCACATTAAATAGAATTATATGATTTAATATGATCCTGTGTATTAGCTCCTGTTGTGATTAAGAAGCACTTCCACTAGAAATAATACTAACAAATAAATATTCGCTGCATGTTATGACGCAATAAAAAAAAAATCCACGTGTTTAGGTATGGATACATGTTCGTAATACTTTTTGTCAGTAAAAAAAAAATATCGAATTCTATCGGTCTCACACGCCAAAAATATAAAACAAAGTGCGAAGAACGATAACTCGTACTGACTGTGGTTGCCGCCGTCCGATAGCACGACACTTCGGGATTAGCCTTTCACGCCATCGATTTGGAATCAGTAATTTTAGTTTTAATGTATTCGTGTAAACCGACAAATTTGTTACATAATATAGTTTAACGTTTTGGTACTATTTACTTAAAGGTAAATCGTTAACTTCCATTGGAAAGCATTACTGGAGTAAAACAACAGTTCATGGCTACGTATCCTTTCATTTTGATTTTAGACAGTTTTATATTCCTTTCCAAGATTACGAATGACAATTTTCGTGGAAAAGTCAATTCAGTTTATTACGACTGCTCCTAACTAGTTGACTTTCAATTGAAAAAATCTTTACAACATTCCGTTTGGATTCTGGAAAATTAATTCAACATACCGTTGGTAGCATGTCGATGGTACAAATTAAGAAGCAGACAACCAATAATACCGGTACTTTCACTTCAAGTGAGCCAATAGAACAGCGACGTTAATTTACTGCTGCATGATTTCTAATCAACATCGAAGATTCTTCTATTAAAGTTTCCAGCGTAAAAAAAGAGGGATTTCCAAAGTTGGAACGAATTACATTAATTTAATTGGCCAATCAGCGATCGTTTGGTCAAGACTCTGACCAAGATGGTGGCTTAGTACCAAAGACAGCAGTCTAGCGGAGAGA